AAAAAAAAAATTAAAGATTTCACGCTTGTGACCATTGTAGTCAAAGAGACAAAATGTGTGTGACGAAACGAGTATTCTTATGTAACAATTATTAAGAATCGCTAAATGAAAAGATAGATGTTTCAAAGCTGCAACTACACAAAAAACTTTGCTCTTCAAAACAAAAGTGTGGCTGTAATGAGTCACTGAAGCAGCGACTGTAACGAGGTCACTGGCGGAAAAAAAGTCATGAATTTTCTGCAGCTAACTCCAGAAGGAAAAATGTCAAGGAGGTGTCGAAGAAATGAATAACAGTAAGTTCTTCTGCTGATTTCTCTATTTTAGCTCATCGTGCAAGTATTAATCAATGCAATTATCGATTATTGGTTTGTCAATATGCTACTACGAAATTTATGAGTCACCGAAGATTAATTAATAATTTTCGAACAAATACTGAGAAGCTATTTAAAAAATTTTTTTTATCAAATGTGTTTTATAACAAAAGTATTCGTATAAAGTATCAATACTTGAAACAAAATCAAGTTTGAAATTTTATCAAACGCGTGTGAAAAAAAAGAAAAAAAAGAAACAGAAATTTAAAGAATTTACAGTATAGATGGATTGCCTTGGCTTAATTTGAGCTTGGAAACAAGGTTTTTTCTGTATGAATCAGCAATAATAGCACAGCGCAGCATGAGAAATTTTTTTTTCAAATATATTCGTGTGCAAAAAAACTTTCTCGTAGTACAGGTTCATTGACTCCACGGGAAAGGGATTAGTGACCTGTCGAGGTTCAAGCCACTAAGTTGAATTAAATTAAGTAAATTGTATTATAGTTCTACTTTATTAGATTTTAGGACTTTCTTTTATGAAGCAGTGGAAAAAAACTTTAGCGTAGACTCCAGGAAAATCGATAGGTCGTGATTAGATTAAAGTTACCGTGCACGTTCAGTTTGAAAAATTTATTACTGCTGAATGTTTAATGCGGTTTTGAAAGAAGACTAAAAATTTTTCTTTATGAATATTGAATAAATTGATTCATACTGATGATTTGGCGAAATATAAGCCTTTTATCTTACCCAACATTTAATTATCAATAAAATATTAACATACATTTTATATTAATGGGTAGATTTACTATTAAATTTTTGCAATTGAAAAAAAAAAAAAACAATCAATGGCAATACCCAAAAACTTTGGGGACAAGATAATTTTTTTTTTTTTCAGAGATCCTCCCGAACATAGAGATGTATTAATCCGAGCCTAGTCAAAATTACACTTAGGAAAAAAAAAGTCAAAGAAACAAAAGGTAAAAGAGAAACAAGTGACCTGATACTTCATATAGCGGGTTGCATTATCAAGTGTAACTCTACACTTCCTCTGAATCATACCCCTCTTTATACACCTACATTATAATGTATACAGAAACGAGCCATGAAAGCAGCATTTAAAATAAAAATAGGAAGTATTTAGGGACATGAAATTTTCGTGTAAAAAGTGCAATTGGTGATTTATTGTCGTAAATTTTTGTTTTAACGCAAACAAACATTTTTTTCTTCGATTTAATCTCAAAAATCACAGCACGATCTACTAATATTATTAATATTTTTATACCATGACGGTTCTTTCCTCAAAATAACCAATTCGTCATTACTTAATCCCTTATTAATCCCTTAAGGGACCGAGAAAACGTTTTGAATGATTAGATATCTTACACGAATACCTAGTGGTACCCACAGTGAGAGGATTGTGCACTTATACAACAGCAAGAGTTGGAAAATAACAAATTCTTAAGAGATAGAAATGAATGTAAGAACAAAAGAGGCCTTTTGTACATCGGCCTTCGTTGACCTGTATATACATATGTATAAATGTGCAGTATACTACATATTGGAGTAGTGAGCGATATAATAATATATGTGTGTAATAAATAAGCACAAGAGAGACACGACGCTAGGATGACGAATACCAAGAAGGATGCAGGATTATATAGATATATAATACATAAATAAATTAAATATTGTACGTAAAAGTTGAGTGAAAATAGTAAAAAAAAAAATCTGATCTACTTACTAAGTATAAAATAGCTAGCTGCCGGCTAATGAAGTGCTCATTATTTATTACCAGCAAGTGATGAAGAAATATATTTTTCATGAGAAGAAAGTTGCATATATACCGTATACTTGCATAGAGTTTTGATAAGAAAAAAATGATAGGAGTACATAATCCTGTCTGTACTTGTATAGGTGCAAAAATTATTTGCTAATATGCATTCATGAAGAAAAAAAAAAACATTAAAACGCACAGTAGTTGAAATTGATTTCAGTGTGAAAAAGAAAATTCATGAATAGTGTACACTGATTCAAGCATCTGCAAGTATAATTTTTTTAAGCAGGTAAATTCATTTACGAGTGTAGTGTACATCATAAATATGTGTTTTATCATTTTGTGTATAGGGCTAACACTGCAGGCAACCTTTTTGGTTTTTTAACTTTAAAAAAGTAGTGCATACAGATGCTGGAAAAAGGGTCAAGGAGAGAAAGAGTCAAGCGCACTTCCTCTCTCTCTCTCTCTCTCTCTCTCTCTCTGGAGCATCAGAATTTAAGAATCATAAGAAATGAGAAATGAAGATGCAATGCTTAGGTTATAAGTAAAGTACAGCAGCCTCAATTCTGGTATGTGTACTCTAATTTATCTTACCCGGTGCATATCACAAACCTTGATATAGTCCCTACATACAAGCTCTAAGAAAAAAAATAAAAATAAAAAAAAATAGAAGCAATGGAAGTACCTATAATACTTGTATTTAATAGCACACTACTGACCTGATAGAGGATGGGCCAAGCATTTTTAGAGTTGATCTCTCGGTACTCGGTCTCCACGTTGCTGCTCGTACCTGTAGTACCATTGGCACCAGTTTTACCAGTCTCACTGGGACCTCCTACGATTCCATTTCCACTACTCGCTGTACTCGTAGCCGGTGTGGTGCTGTTCAGTGTCATATTTGTTGTCGACAACAATGACGACGAGGAGGACGACGACGACGAGGTGGTGGTAGTGGTGGTCGCCGAGTTCTCATTGCTGGTGTTGTTTGTCTCGCTGCTGGTCATTTTATCCAATCTTTCACAGACGAGGAAAGGAAGAGGAGATGATACAAGGTGCATGAGGGGGTGTTTGTTGTATGGTCCGAAAACTGCTTTTTGGAGCAAGTGTATGTGTGTGGGTAACTGTATATGGTATATATCTGTAAGCAAGTATAAAGCAGGAGACAGGGAAGAGAGGAAACAGGGCGAGGAAAGGAAAGAAAGAGAGAGGGATTGTACAGTGTGTATGTAGTAAGTATGAACCCGCAAGTACCTCTATACGTATCGTTGGCACTGTTGGCAGCGTAGCACCAGTAATACGAGTATAGGCAGCTCTTTAAATTCAAGTATTTCAAGCACCTATCACTATATGCTTCCGTGCTATATTTATTTGAACACAACGAAAGTAAGCAGCCTGCGGTTGAGGCATTTAAGTAGTTTGTTATCTTCGCACGAAAAGCTTCATCCAGTAGTCTGGCAAGTGCAAATGAATGGTGACGAAGGTAAGTCAGCGATGAGGCTGATGAAGTCGATAAGCCACCCAAAACAAAACGAAACTTCAAAGAAGCACGCACTCGTGCTCAAATATACTTTTTATAACACACACAGCTCCGTTTTGTCTTCTTCTGTTGTTCTGATTTCTGATGTGTCTCAAAAAACTCTAAATACAGTCTGCAATCTGCATTTGCATGAAGTCTATAGGTCTATACAATACATCAGGCTGTATTCCATTCCGCAAATGCTGCCAGCCAGCACCACCCAGCAGTTAAGTTACGTAGGTCGTGGTAACGCCGCATGGTTGGGCGGCGCTAGCGTCAACCTGTACTAATTAGACAATTAGTAATTAATTACTTAAATTACTCATTACTAATGTACTGTCACTACCACGACCTATACGGGCTATACGTGACTTAACTGCTGGTGCTAGGCTGCTGGTTACAGAATACAGCCTCTGAATTTATCATTCTGGTAAAGAGAGCACGGTGTAAGATATACGTGAAATTATGTGCAGTAATTTTAGTAATCACTTCTAAGTAGTCCCAATAGTCCCATACGGTCGATTTTATTAAACCATATAAGTAAAAGTAAAATTTGTGTACTTTTAGAGGTCAATTTTTGGGTGAAAGATTAACTACAAACTTGCCGCAAGCAGCATAAATAATGTTAACTATTTATTTTATATTTATACAATTATTTGCGGCTGGTATATTATTTATAAAAAGACTTTACTGCGAATATAGCAATAATTATTTGGATCAGCGCCATCTAGCGTTGCGGATTTCTGAACTAAAAAGTGGCCCTAAACTTCTGAACCACAGCTGTAGCGCTTAGAGCCGTTTAATCAACTATAAACCAGCCGCAACTTATGATAAAGCTATAAAATAAAAAAATAACGATACGTGTGTTTTTGGCGGCAAATTAACAATTTATTTTATGCTCGAAAATTTATCTTCAAAAGTATAAATACATAGAAGGTCAATTTTTTGATAAAAAATAAATTGTTAACTTGCCGCCAAAAACACATGTATCGTTATTTTTTTATTTTATAGCTGTATCATGAGTTGCGGCTGGTTTATAATTGACTAAGTGGCTCCAATCCTGATTGCTCTGACTCAGAATTTTAGGAGCCACTTTTGACCAAAAAATAAAGACCGCTAGATGGCGCTGATCCAAGTAATTATTGCTATTTACAGTAAAGTCACTTTATTTATGATAAACCAGCCGCAAATAATCTTATAAATAGACGATATATAGTTGACTTTTTTTTGTGCTACTTGCGGCAAGTTTACAATCTATCTTTTATCCAAAAATCGACCTCTACAAGTAGATAAATATTCTACTTATCTTATACGGCTTGTAAAATCTACCATATTTACAAAATTACACTACTTTGGACCTTTTACCATTAACTCATGGAAGCACAGTCCTTTAACTTTATAGTTTAAATAATTAGTTAACTTATATAATATGAGCATAACAAAATTTGTGTTACAGAAATCTTAAACAATGATTAAATAGATATGTAAAGTAATCAGTCGAAAAGAGACAACTGAAGAAAAAAGACTTAAAAAAGAAGTTCAGTCACACAAAGAGTCTCCTAAGAATGGAGCATTGGATCTCACTTAATCAGAGAAGGTTGGGTTCTTTGTTTATTTATTATACTTAAAATTTACTTCTTTGTAGTAAACGTATTTTTTATTTAGTGAGATCCAATAGTTAATCTTTTACCTAAAAATTAACCTCATGCATATTTAAACTTTGGGGTAGATCTGTCCCCCACCCCCCTCATCACAAATGTAAATCACATTAATCACATGTACTTATCTATAGTTATCAATCGCTTTATCTTGTAACATAACCTAAACGTGTAAGACCGACCAATGTAAACACTTTATTTTCCAACTTTCGTCAACATACTTATAACACAAATGGAATTCTCATTATTACTACCAAGGTAGTGTAGTACATAGGACAACCATAAAATAGTTTATTTGGTTTGAAAGTTTTTCTTCTATTAGTGTCTTATTTAAAAAAAAGAAATGTTCACTAAAGTGTTAAGAGTTGCGGTGTGTACTTGTAGTTTTTTTTACACCTTCTACGTTCTCTGTCATTTAACTTATTTTTTATCCAAACGAATCGATTATGATGAAAACGTCGAGTCAGAAAAAGGTAAGGTTAATTAAAGTAATTTATTAATTTTCCCAATAGCGTTGATTAGTAATTTGAACGATAACTCTCATAGGAGAGAATCTAGCTGTCAAAGCACTATGGCACTCGCTGATAAACTTTGGCCTCATAAGCGTTTTCATCTTGCAACACTCTGTCATGGCCAGTGACTCTGTTAAAGATTTGTATGCCAAGTTCAATGTGGAAGATGTTGAACGCAGTATTTACAACATTAGTGCATCTGCTGTATTGCACTTTTTGATCTCCACTTGGATGCCCGTACCTTGGGTGTTTCTGTGGAATTTCAATAATTTACAGGGTGGTGTATTGTGGTACATACTGAGTTTAATTCAAGTGATTGGCTGGTGCATAGTCTACATTGGTTGCATCATGATGGACATTTCGGAGCTTGCTGGTTTAAAGCAAGTTTATTACAAGCTGTCGGGTAGACCTTGCCCTATGGCACTCAAGTCCAGAGAGCTCCAAAGATATTTTATGCATATGAGACATCCTAGTTTTACTGGATTTCTGATGATACTGTGGATACATCCACTCATGAGGTGGGGGTTTATGTTTGATTAAAAATTATTTTAAGAGTTTGCAAGCTAATAATAGTAGGTAATTTCTTTTTGTAGCATTGATAGATTTATGATGGCTTCTCTGTTGACGGCATACATGGCTCTAATGTGGACTATTGACATGGGTGACTACAGTTACCATTCAATCATCATTACGAGAAAAGAAATGGAAATAAATTACAAAAAGCATTGAGCCACTATATAGTGCCTTCATCTGATTGAAATATCTTAAGAAACATAGTATTTTTCTTATCTTACATTGATAGTCTGAAATCCGCGAACTGCTTTCTCAACTCGCTATTAATTCACTGTGTGATATTAACCTTAAGATTATACTATTAATAAATTATTTAATATTTTCTAGGAATATTAATACATTGGTGTATACAACGTGAATTTTAAAAACTAAAAATAATGAACTAACATCAAGCTGACTTAAATATACTTTATTACTATTTTGGAAGAATTTTTTCAACTTCCTAATTCGTTATCTGAATCAGTAAGGCAGTTCCTTTTAGTATCCAATAAGCCTGCTGTCGAGAAGACGGTATCAGCACAGGCATAACAAAGTTTGTACTATGTCCAGTGGTTGACAGTACTCCAGCACGAATGCTAGTTTTGTACAAAGGACTGACGTATCGCGGATCGTTTTCTGGTGTAGCAAGTACCGGAAGGATGTGCACAACCGGTAATGGTGGATTCATTTCGCCTTTGTTAGCGTCTACGAGAACCTTTAACTTTGGATCCCATCTGCCTGCATCAATGAAAAGACCGTGTATGTACAGTCCATCTGCTGGTTCCTCTAAACTTTTGTAAATGCCTGGCATCTGAAATTAAATTAAATTAGTTGAGGTATGCGGCAAGAGAAAAAAAATATTCCCATATATCTGACATCTTACATCTTTCCCGGCCTTTTTATGTGCCAACTCAATGTTTTCCTGATCGAGAAACACATCAGAAACTTTGAAGTCCAGTTTCAGCTGCTCTATGGGGATGTTGTATTTCCTGGCATGCGTTTGCAGCATCCCAGTTATGAATCCCTGCGGAAAAGATAAACCTGATATCCAGAACGACATCGGCTTTCTGTCGGTTAACCAGACCTGTATGAAAAAATCAAACGATCGTACAACAGTGAAAACCGTCTTTCCCCCACACATATTTGAGTGTTGCGTGCGTGCTTTTATTACATTAATGAAATCGATCCTGAGCTCCAAATCTCTGATCCAGCTGCCTAAGCTTTTGAGCGAAGGGTAGACATTCAAATTGTGCCATATTTGGGGTACCTGTTACGAAATGGCCATTTTTAAGAAAATCGTTTCACGAATCTATTAAATCGCTAAAAAAAAATCTCACTTGATTGTTGACTAGGGATCTGAAGACGTTTTCAAGCTCCTCGGACATGACAACAAACCCTTTGATGGCCCTCTGTAAATTCTCCATGGACGTGTGAATTTTCGACAAAAGAATGTTGTACCGCTCAACTTCGTGCAGTAAAACGACTGTGAGGGATGGCAGCCGACCTGCACTGTCTTTCTATAACAATTTTATATTTATCGTTAGTTTTGCTAATTTTTAGTTGTCGATTATGCTACATATTATATACTTTTAAGTGTCGAAGATTGCAAGTGTCGATGTCTATTTTCAGGGCGATTTTTTCCATTATCAAGTCGGCCAATTCGTAAGCGACTTCCGCGTCCGATTTCCCTTCCTTTCCGATGCCCACTTTTGGCTGGACGTCCATGATGGTTTCCAACACAGTTTTAGATTCTTTCAGCTGGTCGTAAAAAAATTACAAGCCAATAAGAAATGTGAAAATGCAATAAAATCGATAACGTTCTACATGCAGTAATCGGTCGAAACCTGATACGCGATATTTGCGTTCTCATGCATGCCGAAAATTTCGGGATCTTCGATAATGGGAAACTCGTCGATGAACTCGCGGTATTCCCCGAGTTTTTCGTAACTTGGACAGTAGTACGTTCCAGACGGCGAGTACACGTAAGCTATTTATTCATAGATTTAAATTGTACCTCACGTCTATACGAGTGTATAAGAAAACAATTCATGCTGTTCGTATACTTGGCTCGAGAATCTTTGGCGAAAAGAAGCCGTCGAGGATGGTCTTCAAGCAGCGCAGATCCCAGTTGTCGGTGATTCTTCCGCCGTACGTGATCTCCCCTTTAAATTCGAGGAAAAACGATTGAAAAAAAAAAAAAAAAAAATTTCATCCAAGAAATCAAGTTATACTTACCAGTTGTGTAAATCAGAGCGTCCCAGGGAACTGTCTCGTCCACGCAAAACATCTTCAAGTTCAACAGACAGCATTCCCGGTCATTGTCGCTGAACTCGTAGGTCAAGTTCCAGCCGAGCGGCCCAAACTTCTTTCTCTCCTGTATGATGGCGTGGAAGAAGCAGACCCCGAAGATCATGCGCCTCCAACTGTCCTCCAGTTCTGTTTTACGAATTCGTTAAATTGATTTTTCGTTAGATTGATTTTTCTCATTGATTAATTAATCAATGAGAAAAAAAAAAAAAAAAATGTATTTTTTCATCGAACAAGTAGCACACCGACCATGATCCTCAAAGAAGTCCTCCTCGAGCTCAAAGAAAGCCCTCCTGACGTTGGCCTTGAGTCCCTTGGGCGGCTCGTTGGTCACCTTGACCGAATTCTGCAGCACCGACACGGGAAAGCCCGGGCTGGGCATCGAGCTCAGAAACAACCGGAAGTCCTCGTGCACGCGCTCCGGCATCTCGGCGATCTCCGCGACTATCGCCTCCAACGAGAGCATCCACGAAGTCGCCAGGTGGCTGTACGACCATGTATATACTTACAATGACGTATACACAACAACAGTTTTTGTACTCTCCACAGTTATATTTGTTAACAAGTTTGTACGTATATTTTATGTAGTGGGCTACAAATTTATTTATTTTTTATCAACACTCTGTACTTAATTCCAGTTGGTACCTGTTTTGCAAGAAGACCCAGCTACCCTGTTCGCAGCCACGCTTTATCAGGGACTCGGCGATCGGACCCTGGCCCTGGCCCAAAGAGATAGCCTCGTACCTGGAAATGCAAACGATTGGCAAAATCACACCTTTCGAGTCGACGAGTCGGTATAAGGTTTTTCTCATACCTGTCGCTGAAATTCATTTCGTTGGCGAACTTTAGGAAGGCGCTAAAAGGGTCCGAGCCCGTGCTCAGAACGAACACCAAGGGCGTCACTTTCGACGTGTCGGGGAACCTAAAGTTGAAAAAAAAAAAAAAAAAAATGGCACATATTTTTGTGTTCATATTTATATGTGCTCTTAGCATGCCATGACTAACAGAACGGGCAGCGATATCATCGGCGACTCGATGAACCTCTGGCCGAGGTTTTTCTTGACGAAGGACGTGATCGCAAAAATGAGCTTCTCCTCCTTCAGCGCCTTCAGCAGCATCAACTTTTCAATGTCCGTCAGCGAAGCGTCCCAGTCGTTTTGCGCTCTCGCGCTGTTTTGCGGTAGAACGTTGATCTCCTGCGATGATCGACAAAATCATCGGTGTGTGTAGCTATGTAAAATTGTCCCAAAAAAAAAAAAAAAAAAAAAAAAGGGGGACTGTCGTATGTAGAGCTCACTTCTTCGTAAATCTCGATCTTCACTCTGATTTTTTTGAACATGTCGTCCATGAGCTTTTCAAAGCTCTCGAAGCTCGCTACCAGGTAGTTGGCCGAGATCCACATGTTATCGGTAAGCGTCGGATAATCCGGCTTCTTGTCCTGAGAGGCCAACGGCGATTAGTGCACGCCGGGTGAGAGGAAACAAAAAATTTGCACGCCAACGAGTACGAACCGTCCGGATTTGCTCGGGTCCCCGAAGCAAAAAGTTCCACTGCGCGTAATCGATGGTGCCGTCGTTTATGAGTATCGCCACGTTCATCATGAAGCTGAAGACGATTTTGTGGCGCTCGAAGAGCCCGCGCGAGACGTTCGTGTAGACCGACAGGGTTATCTCGTCGTAGAGAATTTGCAGCCGTTCCGTAAGCTCCTCCGTCTTTTCGCTCGTCTCTATGACGTTGTTGAAGACCTGTTTTTTTTTTTTTTTTTTTTTTTTTTTTTTTTTTTTTTTTAATAAAATACAATACGTTGCATTCGGTAATATTTGACTTCTTGGTCATTATACATCTATAGTAACTGTTTTGATATAACAGATTGGCAAAGAAGAATCTTGAATTGTTCATCCAAGCCAAAAGTGTAAAATCACCGATTGAGCCGGTGACGATTTATTTTCACCGCTGACCGCACTCTGGTTTCATTTTCATTTCACCCGTGTATATGCGTCAACAACAGCAAAGCGTCACTCATCTAATTTTAAATATTGTGAAAAAGCAACGACGCGTATCGCACCTGATTGAAGTACTTGAGCGAGAACTGATACATCGAATCGACGAGGGCGAGACTCGCGACGACAAAGTACAGAACCGAGCCGTGGCTGGCGACGCTTCTGTATCCCTCGCGAGCCGTGCTTATCTCTTTTTCCGTGGCCTCGCTGTCCACCAGCCTCGAGGCTATTATCGACGAGGTTTCCTTGCTCTCGTTTAACGTCTCGATCAGCTCCTCGTTGTCGAGGATGTTGCCCTCCGTGCTAAAGAGCAGCGTCAGGATTCGGTCCTCGATGCCCTTCAGCTGGCTCTTGTCAGCGTTTATCTGGGCCACCAGCTCGTTGCGCATACTCTCGAGCTCTGGCTTCTCCAGGCGCACCACGTCGCTGATGGACGTACACGTGTATTATTTTTTTTGTCCTGCTCCAACTAAACTATACAATGTGTACTAACAATAATACTCACGCCAACAGTTGATCTTCCAGCCCGCTTGGTGTGACTGTGAAATTGACGATCGTCACCTTTATACAGATCTCCGGCAGATAGTGAGGATTCGCCATCTTCGTGGTGATGTACAGGCGGAAGTTATTGTCGTACTCCACGTCGTTGTCGCCCAACCGGATGAGCGTCCGTCCGGCCTGAAAATATATGCGTATACATATATGTCTCTCAGAGATCTCGAAACCGTTCACCATATGTACATGAGCATATGCATATACCTGCACGAAAGTCTGCTTCAGTAGTATCGGCTCCAAGCTCGGGTCGAGGCTCTCACCGACCTCCTGCAGTAGAATCGGCGCTCCTGTTCTGAGGCAAGCTTCGATGATCCTCATGAAGCTCGAGTCCGTCATTTTGCACACCTTCAGCTGATTCGGCCCCTCCAGGCTGCGGATCCATCGGTTCGCCTGTGGTGTGTCATCGGATCGATTTAGTTGAGTGATCCCCCCCTTTGATGGAGAAAAAAACAGATACCTGCTCCTGGGGATCTATCATGAGGGGCCAGCGTCCCGCTTGAGTGACCAAGATCGCGTTCTCCGCGCTGACCTACACAAATATATATATTTATTGCAACGTAAATGAAACGTGTAAATGAAAAAAAAAAAACGTAGCTCATACCTGGTCCCTGGGCAGTCCGCAAGCGTTCCACTGTCGCAGCTCGTAGGGATCACCGAGTACCGAGTAGAGACTAAAGTTGTTTGTGGTGGGGATGGACTGCTCCCTGCAGCGCGACAGCCACACGGCCAGCAGTTCCTCGCGGTAGACACTCGTGAAGGCACCCAAGTAAGCCAGGCCACCCGCGGCGACGAGGGTATCGCCCGCCATGCAGTCCAACTCTTTTTCGAATCCCTGCGAGCAGCGAGAGCTCGCGTCAAAAACCACGCATCGAGTTTGGGTGTGCGAATTAAATCAACTCACGATCGTCAATTCGTTCCATCGGACTTCCTCGTCGGCGAGAGCCGAGGTCAACCTGCCGGATCTGCCAAGCCGAGCCTCGCCCAGCTTGATGTTGTACTCGAGATCGCCTAGTCGCTTCACAGCCCCGTTGTACTGGTTCTGCAGGTCCTTGCTCTGTTTCTCGACGTCGGCCAACTGCTTCTGTTTCTCGCGGAGCACGACCTCGATCGCCTGCAGCTCGATCTGAGCCTCCTCCAGTCTGGGTATTAAAATTACCACTAAATTTCTTTTCACATGAGGAGAAAAAAATTACAAAGTGTATACAGCGATGGAACGTACTTTTTCCGCTTAGGCTCGACCACGCGGAAGATCTTGGCGTATCCGTCGACAGCTCGCACCCAAATGCAAATGGACTTGCAGACTTTGCTCTGTTTGGCCACGATCTCCGGGAGAAAGTCTTTGTGCATCGTGTACACTTGAAGCTTCTTCAGCAGCTTGTCACTGATCTCGTCCTTTTGGTAGGCCATCAGCCGGTCCAGGAAACGCACGTCGCCGAGCACGAGTTTAGCCGTCGGCCAGTCCGTCCTGGAATTACCCATGATTAAGGGCGTGATCCTTGATGGTTATTTGTATAGCACGATTTGGGCTTCTCACTTTTCTCCTAGGAGCAAGCAAACGGCTTCCATGACGAAGCGCACTAATTGGGGCGGCTTGTTGAACACCTTGATCTCGTTGATGTCGTTCTTGTTGAGAGCCGCGAGGGCAGCCTGGGCCTCGTCAAGCGCCGGGAGTGCTGCCTCCAGGTCCCTCCTCGCCTCCGACTCGAGAGCTGCTGTCTCGTCCGCCACTGCCTTGATGGATCGTTATTATTTCACGATCATCTTCGATCAACCAAGTGTTCTTTTACTCATACCTTGGCGGCTGCCTCGTCTTCGGCGACGACGGTCCGGACCTTGTCGCACTCGATTTGCTGCTTCGCCACGACCTTCATCAGCTTCGACACCTCCTCCGAGCTCGTTTTTAGCAGCGGCCCGAGCTCGATCAGTTGTTTCTTCATCACCGCCACCGAGACGTTCGTCTCCTTAATTTTCTGCATTCCAATATGGTTAATCACACAAGTATATAGACCTGTCGCTCTCGAAATCGGTAATAATAGCGAGTTACGTTCAACCCGTTGACGATCCGGCCCCTCAGAGTATCCAGTTGCGTTCTTTTGCGATTCAAGGTGCTCAGGTAGAGTTTCAGCAGGTCCAAGTAGCTACTCGGCGTCGTGTAGTACCTACGGCGCATCTCCTCGAAGAATCTCACCGTCATCACTTCCACGCTCTACCAATGCATAATTCTTGCTGTGTCCGTCGCGTTATCGCAATAACAATTAAAATCAACGCACCTCGTGCATCAAAACGCAAATTGAAGCCAAAGCTTCGACCTTTTCTGGCTCGTCGGGAATGACGATCTCTATGGACTTGACGGCCACGGAGCGCAAAGCTTCGTTCGGCCACTTGGAGAACCAGTCGATCGTACAACAGTTCACCAGGGACGGAAACATGCGACAGCGACGCCTAAAGTAAACGCCCCACAGCTACATAGGTATATCTTACTTTTCATCGAAACAGCTGTGGTACCTGAAAGCGTCGCCCACGGGGCTCATGCACAACATCAGATGCAGATTATTCCTGACCCGGTTTATGAAGAACTGGTAGATAGCGTCGCGATTCGATTCCGCGATACCGGCTTCCTTGGCCGCCGGCCGGGTAGCTATGATCGCCCGCTCCAGCTCTTCCGCTTCGAACAGGTTCGGCACCTCGCCTATTTTTTTTTTTTTTTTTTCAATCATTCCAAACGGCAACTCACGCACGGATGGTTAGTCTTGGTGATTACCAGAGTTCAAAGTGTTGTTGATGTCCTCGAGAAACTCCTCCATGACGATCTGCGTGTCGGTGAAGAGAAAAGTCGCCGGCTCGGCAAGGGCTCCGGGACCAAAGTAAAACCGGCGCAGGTCCTCGTTCCACGAGTTCTTGTCGTACCCCCGGCTGATTTCGATCTGTTGGCAACTGTGATCCACGCGATAAATCATTTCCGAAAGTATGGCAAAAAAAATAACTTTAGCCCCAAAAACAACCCTGCAGTTCTTCTTACCGATACCCGTTGACGTGCGAGGCCAGCCTCGTCAAGCTCTGCTTGCCCATGCCACCGACGCCGACGAGTAAGCCGTTGCCCCTCTCGGATCTCAGTATCCTCGCCAGCCGGCACAGGTGCTCGATCGCGTCGACGAAAAATATGAGGCTCATCTCCCTGCCCGAGACGATGCAGTAGTCCTCGAGGTACTCCTGAAGGGCTGCCCTGGCGCGCGACAGCTCGACTATCTCCTCGTAGAAGCGGTCCTCGCGCGCCGCCCCGAACACCAGGAAATCGCCGAATAGCAGCTGCGGCGGCTGCGAGCCCAGCTTGGCGTTGTCCTCCGGGAGCTCGAGCACGTCGTCGCCGAAGGTGCCCGAGCACACGCTCGACAGCATACGGTAAAAGTAGCTCTTGTCCGACGTATCGGTCAACCGGTCATGGAAGACGCGCAGGCATTCGTGGTAGAACAACCTTGGGACCGGACATCCAAAACAACATTTTTTCATTTTTTTTTTTTTCATTTTTACCGTCACTGTGCATAATAACGCTGCTATGCGAGCGAGCTGATTTAATGATTCGGCTGCTGGTAGTTTTAATAATTTATGCTCGTTGCGAGTTACCGAGCTATAATTTGCAAAGACAAATTTGGACTCTTGACGCATACGCGTGAAATTTGTAGAAAAAAAAAGATTAATTTAAAAAAAAATGCATTCCACCTGAACATCTGTTTGGCTTCGGTGACGACTCCCATGTCGGCCTGCATGATTCCTTGCACGCACTTTGACAGATCTCGCAAATTAAAGATGTAGTGGCTCTTTTCGGGAGTCGGCAAAAGATCGACAGCTATGCGGCCGTACACCTCGACCGCGGCGGCGACTACTTTGTCACCGCTGCTCATCACCGGTGGGGCAAAGTCCTTCAGGAAGCCTCTCAAGATTGTTCTGTTAATTGTTTTTTTTTTTTCTTTCATTTATACATCATTTGGAACTTTATAGCAACTATTCCTCTGTACGCGTGTTGTGTACCTAAATATGGCCTTGAGGGAATCTTCAGTCGGAGAGGGTATGACGAGCATTCCAAAGTGGCGGACGAACCGAGAGGTCAGGGGGTTCCTTCCTCCACCGGGTGGCGCGCAAGCTGTGGCCAATACCACGTCCTCGATGTCCTTCCAAAAGAGTTTGTCTCTGTCGTACAGCCCACCGGAGTCAAGGACTTGCCTTTAAAAAATTCAATTTCATCAAAAGGTTTTACGTGCATACACATTATTTATTGTCATCACCCACCTGAGCAGCTCGATCGGCGGCTGGGAGCCGTAGGTGTCCAATTTCGGCATGTTAACGTCATCGACGAACAGACAGACGCGCTTGCCGATCGGGGCGCCCAGTGCCGTGCGCCGTTTCTTCTCGAGCTTCAACTCGAGGATCTCCTGAGTGCGGCCGCTGCCCGTCTGCGCCGAGAAGTTCAAGACTATCGGGAGCCACACGCCCGACCCCTCGAGCGCGCTCAGAACGAGTTTGGCGATCACCGATTTTCCCACACCTTTTGTTTGTTTTTTATCCAATCGAAAGAACGAGCTTGTTGATAATAATGTGTGTACATATGATCGGTTGGTTACCGGTGCCGCCGGTGAAGAAGACCGGCTTGTTCACTTGGACGAGCTTCTGCATGATGTAGCCGAAACGGACCGTATCGACGGTAGGCACGAGGATCTCGAAGAACGGCTGCTGGGGGTCGTAGGCGAAGGCCGTCATGAGCTTCAGCCAGACCTCCATGCGCTGCTCGGCGCTGTTGACGAACATATCCCACAGACTGCCCGACGACGGCAGGCTTTGGAGGAAACATGATTTTTCGGTTTTTTTTTAATTCCTGGACACGCGCTGTGCATCGTTATTCCCGTGATTGGTACCGCGCCTCCATGTTGTTTTCGAATTGGTCCCTGACGTAGAGCTCGAAGGTTTCGCGGGAACTGTCGAGCGCGTTGCCACCCACGGCCCACAGGTACGAGAAGACAAACGCTTGGTTGACAAACGTCTTGACTCTCGATTGATCCAACGTCTTTTCGATCACGTCCGTCTCGAGAAGTAAGCTCTCTAGAAGCGCGCACAGCGTGTCGACCTTGCTGATGTCGACCTATGGATGTGTTTATTTTTTATTTTTTATTTTTTTTTTTTTTTTTTTTCAATTTACATGGCAAGATGTCGATAGTTAATTCTACGTGTACTCACCTGCGATATGGCGTGGTCGCAGTGCTTTTTAAAGAATTTCAGTCCGTTCTCGACATAATTCTGAAAGAGGTCGAGCAAAAGGGCCAAAACCTCTTTTTTCGCGATCCTCTCGGCCATCCGAGCGAGCCAGCTTTTGACGCGTGGCAGCCACTTGAGCTCCGTAGGGTCGAGGTACACCATTCCTATGGATGTGATGTAGTATAGTATACAATACATTTATACCTTGTAGGTATACCGATGTACGAATTGAATGTGTAATTGCAGCCTCACCGCAACGACTGACCGTAGCCGGCGAAGCTTGGGCCAAATCGGCGACTTCGAAGACCATGTGCACGTAAGGCGTGAACTTGATCCTCTCGGAGTTGGCCAGACACAGCATCTTGTTGTCGTCGAGGACCGTGTTCATGTTTTCTATCCACACCGCGTCTACCGGGCCGTCGCACACGCACCACTGGTGCTCATCCGTCGTAGCCTGTTATCATCAACGTTGTTGTTGTTTGTTGTTGTTGTTTTTTTTTTTTTTTTTTCAACTTGGAATATCTTTTGTCCCCATCCTACACCCGAGTCAAAAAGAAAAGGTGTCCTTACAGAACAAGCGTGCCGGATAATGTTGCCGAGCAAGCCATCGTGCCACTCGCCGGTTGCCGGGCTGACCTCGCCGTACAACTCTCCGATCGTCACAGCTTTGGGATTCAAAACGTACATGTTGACCTTCTTGTAGTAAGGACTCGGAACCTCCATCTCGTGCAGCCGCGTGTACGTGTCCTTGAGCATCTATGCCAAGTAGATGCCGCACGTTTCATAATTGTCCTTCGTATGTGGTCCACATGTCGCACAACTTACCCGCAGCACGGTGGATTTGCCGCCTCCGGTCGGGCCGACCAGCATGACTCCGTGCCTCACCCGCATGGTCTCGTGCAGCTCGATGATTTTCTTGATCGAGCAAGCCTCGGGTTGCAGGCCTGCTTCTTGCATCACCTGCGTGCGCCGCGAATTTCGGAGTATCGGTAAGCAAGTATATTATACACGTGTATGTCATGTACAGCGATGACGTGTACTTTGACGGCCGTCTGTTGGAGCACACCGTAGTCCTCTTTGGCAAGGACGATGCCGGGAAACAGGTCGCACAGGATACCTTGGAATAGCTCGGCGTCGTCCGTCAGGAACTTCGGGAGGTTGCTGTCTCGCAGCGCTCGTATCAAAACTACGTCCTCCGGCTTGTCGGGGTTGTCGCGCTTCAAGCTCCCGGCCATCACGAGCACGCTCTTCACGGCCCTGTGTTACATACTCGGTTGTCAAAAAACTAGAGTTATAGTATATAAATAAATCATACATACGTGTACACTCACCGCATGCCAAAGTCGTAATGATCTTGTTGGGACAGCTGTTCGCTGCAGAGGGTGTACATGAGGGTCATTTTCTTGGCCAACGATTTCGAGGACTCGAAGCCCTCCGAGTACAGAGTCACCTCGGCGATGAGCTCTAAACGATATGTGAGTTACATCTACGTGTTTTCGGGAGATCTCCGATTCGACGGGCATGGATGTACAAACGGTAATTTGGCACCGCCATCGAAATGGGGCGGAAGAGGGATTTCAGGTTGTCGGGCAGCTCCGTGCGCCCAGCGTATCCCGGGTTCATCGTGATAAACGCCGCGCAAGTTCTCACCAGCTTTATTTTTCGACCCTCGAACATGAATCTGTCGTTTTACACGCCAGTTTCAGTGTGAATACTTTGCAAAACGCGTACATCCGCCATCGATCCAATTGAAAAATACTCACTCCTTAGCTCGAGCGACTTTGGCGTTTCTTATTGTTATCAGCTGCTGCGCTATGACGGACAGGACCTCGATATCGATGCGGTTGAACTCGTCGAAGCAACACCAAGCCCCGGAGGTCGCGAGACCCGAGAAGAATCGGCCCATCATCTGTTGCACCAACGCGACAGCCACATTTATGCACGAGTTTGAAAAAAACAAAAAAAACTAATAATCCACCTTGTAGTCGAGTCCTTCGGAGCAATTGAAGACGACGCACTGGATGGCCAGCGCTTTGGCCAGATCCTTCGTCGTTTCGTTTTCCCCGTGCCGGCCGGTCCCGCGGGTGCTCCCCCTAAATCATGGCTCTTTCACTCTACTTTTTTTTTTTTTTTTTTTAATAAAATACAATACGTTGCATTCGGTACCTAGATCCAACTGGAGCGCGCCCATGAGACAAAGGTAGCACTTGTCGGTGAGAGGAGTGATGACAAGGCGTCTCTGAGCCCCGAGGTACTCGTACCCGTACGCGTACTCCGCGTTGCTCATTCGCGCGACACACCGATCGGCCTTGTTGTCCCAGTAGTAGCGCAAGGCTTTCGTCCAGTCGAAGCTCGAGCTAGTTTTGATCAACTGAAAAAGTGTCGGAGGAAAGAAAAAAAAAGAGAGAGAGAGAGAGAGCTCGGAAAGGGACAACGTTTTACCTGGACGAGACTTTGTTCTCCACTAGAATCGATATGGTGTCGCGGGCGTGCACATCCACGGTTATCAGGTTGATTATCACTTCGCGCACCAGTTTGGGCAGTTCACCCCGCACCAGAGCTGCGAGTTCGTTCAGATTCTGATTTTTTTTTTTTTCAAAATCATAAGTATATTCAGTGGACAAGCTATGCGGAACACAAAGTTACACAAATTTACCTCGTAACACTTCTTCTCGAACTTTTTCATGTTCCTCTCGGCGTTGTCGCCCGACTCCAAGTTCACGTGCACGTCCCTCGCCCAGTATATCTGGGACGCCGTCAAAACTACCTATAACAGAGTAATTGAGCAACCCCACAGAGTCCTTCACTGATAACATTCACCACAACGCACTTGACGAAAAGCACAAAGTATACAGTATAGTATCCCGACCTGGGACGGGTAATTCGATATGACGAACTTGCGGCCCATTTTCGCGTAGTCCACCATAGCCTCCTGCATCCTCTTCTTGAGGCTGGCAAACATCGCGGTCTCGACCTTGCCCAACCAGTCCTCGACGTTGCCCCGAGCCTTGAGACCTTTAGTCAACTCGACCCGCTCGCTTTCCGGCGATAGCATGGCCAAAATATCGTTCGAAGATCCCTCGGCACCTGGCAGCTGGCCGGCAAATTCCAGGCGATAGATCGCGTCGAAGCACTTTTGCAGGTGACGCTGCACCGCGTGTGGATCGCGCGTCTGGTGTACCGTTATTTTCATGGTACATTATACACGCCAGGGTACACGTCGTATACTTATTTAGCTCGGAGGTCTTACTTGAGCGAGGATTTCGAGCATTTCGTCGTTGGAGAGGAAAAAGAAGCGTGGGAACGCTACGCGTTTCGTCTCGAGGTACGCCTCCAGGCACTTGAGTATCTGATCGAGTTTGCGGTTGTTTTCGAGGAGTGCCTCGAGCAGACTCGGCTGCGTGCAATTCTCCAATGCCAAGGGCATCTTTGGAGGAGACAATCGCGCTTAGTTACATAACAAATATTCCTTTTTTTTTTTTTCATCCTCGATCGCGGTTGCTTACTTTTTCGGTTTTTCTCATGATTTCCTTGAAAGACTTGTCAACGATGATGAATAGCTTGGCTTCGATCGGCAGCTGCCTCTGGATGTCCGGAGCGGAAAATATGGCCTCGAGGTACAGCCACTGCTGCTGACAGTATTGCCAAGCTTCCTAAACGAAAATAATACGCGACAACAATGTGATGTTTCAATTTAAAAAAAAAAAAAAGGGGGGGGGGAGCTATAGGAACCCACCAAAGTCTTTGAGAAGAGATCCAGTCTTTTGACCCAGTCGTCGACTCTAGGCTTGATGGGCGCCACGTGCCTCGACGCAGCGATCGTCTGAATGGATATATTGCTGTCGTCCAGAGTGGCTTGCACCTCCTCGAGCGAGCCCAGGATGAATACGTCCTTGGACTCCTTGTGGTTGACGACGGCAAAGTCGATGGTCTTCCAGGCGTCCTCGACCTTCTTCAGCATGAGCTCGAGGCCAGCTTCGGAGCTCGCGGCACCCGATATTTCCATGAGCTCGTCAGGATAATGAAAGGCCTTCAGCTCCTCGAGAAGGTTCAGACTCAAAGTGACGTCGGGATCAAACGTGTGCCCTAAAAGCGTCTCGATCTTGAGCCAGTGCCGCGGCTGGAAGTTCGGGTTGCGCAGGTAACCGATCGTCGGCAGCTTGTCCCTCATCATCTCGACTTTCTCTGTCAAACGTCACATCGAAATCTTTCTACGTTGTTTTTCCAGTAGCTCCAGTACAAAAGTTCGATCCCCACCTTTGAGCACCGGCAGTATGTCGTTGGCCGGCAGTCCCTTCTCGAACTGCGTGATGTTCTTCAGGTACTTGGTCACAAAGGCGTTCAGCTCCTCGACGTTGAGCAGGTCGAACTCAGCCTCGTACCAGCCGGCCGTCACGTCTTCCCACTCGGCCAGGCTCTCCCAAAGCAGCGTGCGCAGCTTCGCGTTGTTCAACACCTGATCGAGCACGTCGAACCGCGTCATTTCGACCTTGAAGGCCTTCTGGTAGGAGCGATAGTCGGCCCCGAGGTTCGCGCACTTGGTCAAACGATCGCTGAGCTCCCTCAGGGTCTCCAGACAGACGTCCGCGTTGCTCTCGCTGTCCAGCAGCCAAGGTTGCTGGAACAAGTTGATTTTTATGTTTAATGCCTCTGTGGCCAATTTACAATGATTTACGAGCGTATACATATATGTATATGGTACCGCGACTTCTTCGTTGATGTCCTGGACTTTGTCGATAAGCGCGCTAATGTCCTTCTGTATTTGCTTGTTGAACCTCGTGATGAGCTTGGTCCTCTCTTCGAGGCACTTTTCGACCTTGAGCCTCAGGGACGTAAAATAAACGCTGATACCCTAAACGAGCGTTCATTCAATTTTGTAACCGAATGAGGGGTAGGGTTTTTTCAAACAATTAATTACCAAGTAGCACGTCATGTCCTCCGGATCGACGCTTATACCGTACTCGCTCATGATATCGTAAAGATCTTTAACAAAGTCCATCTGGTTGTCCATGCCGTCGAGCTTTTGCTGCACCCTGTCGATGAATTTTATGTACTCGACGTATTCCTCGGTAGACACCGGGTCCGACTTGAGGAAGTCTATGGCGTCCGTGGCTTCCTCCCGAAGCGAGAGAACGCGCTGTTTTCCCAGCCTAATCGAAACAGTTTCATCACGTACATTTTGTGATGAAGAAAAAAAAAAAAAAAAAAACCCTACTCTGGCATGACATTGGCGAGTATCGCTTGTTTCTCGTTGGTCGCGGGCAGGGCGCACTCCTTGAACCGGCCGAGTTTGACGTAAAAGATCCCCAGCGGTTGTTCGTCGACGGCGCTGTTGATCTCTTGCTCGTCGCTGCTGAGGCGGTCGCACCAGCTGCGGAAGACGTCGCATTTATCGTTGGCGCGGATCTCGCTCTCCTCGAGGCTCCTGGCTGCTTTGTAGCTCGCGTAGATGTGGGCGAAGCGCGCGCAGTAGCGCTCGGCCGCCTTGAAGTTCGTCTCGAGGATGGATTTGAATTTCTCCTTGGAGGCCAACAGGTGCGGGTCTTCGCTTATGACTCGCGGGAGGTTTGGCGGCTCGCTACGCACGGGATCCTCGATTTTGTTGTTTATCAGAGGTCTGCAACGTTTTTGCAACGTTTTTGCTTTTAGTTCATGCCAATCGATCGAGTTAATCTAGTTGAACCATTTATACGATGGAACGAAAACAAATTTTTCCAGATGATGTTTTCAATCAAAATTATTAAAAATGGATCGATTTTTTTTTATAAATCGTAATCGCCGGTCAACCGATCGAATTTTATTTATGTTTACACCGAACCTCGTAAAAGGGTGAAAAAGCTCGTCTGAGAGGTATGGCTTGACATCAACCAATGTTTCCTCCCAAGTGTCTTGTAAGTTCGTAACGACGTGCCAAAAGACGTTTTCGTGCGGATCCAGCACGACTCCAAGCGCCGGATCGATCATCAAATCTACCACGAAGTAGGGGTACTAGAAGGTTTATGTTTATTTTCCCTTATCAAGTGTTTACCATTAAAATTACAACTAAAAGAAGAAAAAAAAAAAAAAAAAAAAGAAAAAACTGGTGTACCTGTTCCTCCGCACTGGATGAACTGGGCCTCGAGCTCTTTAAAGTATAACCAACGCTCGCGTTCTCGAACTCGCTCTCGGGTGGTAGGTAGCTCGTGTGCTTCTCGAGAATGCTGATCAGCTCAGCGTAGGTGTTGCGCAAAAAATTTTGCAGCACAAACAGCTGGTAGTAGTCGACCAGGTAGATTAAGCTGAGGATTGGATTTTTGTCTCATTGCGAAACGGTGGGATTAGAAATCGTTGATCGGTCGCTATGTTTTACCTCGATATGCGGAAACATCTCTTGCGTTTCTTCACTTGATCGGTGTAGCTCATCTTTAATACGCCATCCTTTGGCATTCTCACCTTGCCCCCTGATGGAAAATTCTTCGAGTATTGCACGTTTGGACGTTGTCCTTCTTTACTTACCGATTTTTCCAAGCACCGTTTGTTGTAACGTTATGTTCGAATCGTCGGGCGTGTACCCGGCTTCGAGAAGGGACTTCAGAGACGCCTCATTTATGATACTCTGCACGATTGATCTATATTCGGTCAATCGGTCCTTTATGTATTCCAGTTTGGCAAACTTTTAGAAAACAAGAAATTAAAATTCAATGACGCTTTTTAGCTATTAGTACTTTTTTCGATAAAATAAAAAAAAAAAAAAAAAAGCTAACTTGAATCTCAACAAAACCAAAGAGCGGATGATTCTGCACAACTGAAGTATCGACCAGTGAGGAGTTTAAAAATCTGCAGCACAACCCTTTGATTTTCAATAGAACGTCGCGTAAAATTCCGTCGCAGAGAAACAGATTTTTATTGAGGTGATCCATGGCGCGTTTGACCTTGCGATACATCACTACTTTTTTCCACACGTAAAATGACTTCCACTTCAAATAATCCTTAAACATCTTGATCTACCGATTTTTACAGACAAAGTTAGAGCAAATAAGTAGTTTTTCACCGCGAAAGTTTGCATTACCTGCGTAACAAGCTCGTAAAACCTGTACTCGCGTTCCCATTCAGCGATGGGAGTGAAGGTTACTTCCGTAGAGCTGTACTGCGTGACCCCATCGGGGCTCATCGTCATGTAGACCTTGCCGATTTTTTTGTAGGGCACCACTCTGCGAAAGAATTCACAAAAAACGCACGAAATTCGACAAATACCTAGAGAGTCACTATAATAGTTACTTGAGCGCGTAGGGAGTGAAAAATTCCGACGATCGCTCGACTCCGTAGACCATGTAGTAAAAGCCGATCTTCGGATCGGACCTCAAGTTCTCGATTAACTCCAACTGATCGGCAAATTTTACCTCGGCTTTATTCACGGCAACCGGTACCACTTCCTCTTCCAGCACCTTACCCTTTGTCCTTGCGTGGACTGGATCACCGAAAAAGGAAACTCATCAACGCCCATCGAAAAACAAACTGTTGAAGTAACACACACGTACTTTTCAGAGGCCTCTCCTTGATCAACCGATTTTTCCTCGGAGTCTCGTACGGCTGGTCCACAACATCCGGTACTGGATAGTACGGCTTGCAAACCAACCGTTTGATCTCCTTTTGCTTTGCCAGAAAACCTGTCTGCAAAAACAAACACAACAGTGCCACTATGGCCCAAAATCGGCAAAAGATCGGTCCGCGCGTGCGTGTATATTTACAAGCGGCTCCGGTGCCTCCGTCGCATCCTCGATCTTCTCGAGAAACCTTTTGGGCGGCAGGTGCAGCTCGTACTCGTCTTCTCGCTTGAAACTTGAAGGAAAATTCGCGGCGATTGATTATCCATGTATTTCTTACTCTCTGCATCCACATCGGGATGAATATTAATAGACCGCTTACTCTTTGTATCTCCTCGGCGGATCGTGGCGCAAGTCACCGGCTGACCTTGAGTCGTACCTGTTACCCCCACTGTCCTCCATGGACCCACCTGTGTGGTGCGATCTTAAAAAAAAAACACCCCCTCGATTCGAATGAGATGTACCGGGAACTAACCGATTTTCGCTTCGAGAGACGAATGGGCGCTCGAGTGGGTTAAGACGTCGGTATATTTGACGGAAGGACTGAAGTTGGCTTATCGACTTAACAAATGAATTAGGTATCTATCCTCATCGGAACGGGAAGGAAAGCTATGATCGCGAGTATAGATATTCCGGGCGTACCTTTTTTATATAACCGAGGATAGCAGGTAGCAACTGTTAGCGAATTCGTAAACTCGTTATTATCATTTGTTTTTTTTTTTTTTTTTTTTTTTTTTCGTTGGCATGTAGTCCGAGAAGAAGGAAAAAGCAAACGGTTGGTCGGAGGGAGGGACTTTCAGAACTGGGACGGCGGCTCGATACTGTGTACGAGATCATCTCCGGCACGGAAAGCTCGCTTGTGATGTGCGTGACACATCTGGAAAGTAAAGTGAGCTCCAACGTGATTTATTTACCGTTCCCCTTTTTCTTTTCTTACACGAGTAGAGGAACTACCTACTCGTTGAAATTGAGCTAACTCTATTTTTTTTTTTTTTTTTTTCATAGATTGACTGTGATACAGGACCTTCGAGATCGTGAATAGCGATGTTATTTTTGTTGGAAATTTTTTGGCAAATCACTCGGGCGAGTATTTTTATGACGTGGTAATGAGTGAATCCGGAAACTCGCTCTGGTGATTCACGAGGGGCTCATAAATTTTCGGGGAATTTCCGGAATCAAAAGAAAAAAATAATGACGATAAATCTTAAAATCAAATCAAATAAAAAAAAAAAAAAAAAAAAAGTCTCGACAATTTTAATCCACTTAGTTGTAAATCAAGTGTTCCGATATTCAAAGATCATCAATTCGCTTGGACCGAATGCACGTACCTATACCTCGAACTCCTCGGCTTCTTAATCCACTAGTCTAATTTTTAAAATAGTGCACGCTAATGGTCGTGGCTGTGGTTTCAAAACACACGCACCCAGCGTCACCCCTTCTCGCGTCGCTCTCTTCTGGTTTCTCAACGAGTAAAGTTAAAAATAACCAATTCAAGCGCGTCTACGGGCGCTCCACTCGTCGTTCAGTTAACAACCGAACGCTCGACGAGAAAAGTCGTGTATGTACGTACATCTCCCTGCACGTGCTCCGCGAGCTTGTATAACACAATGTACTCCAAAGCCCTACTTTTCGACAGTTTGATCTTTTTCACCGTTTACATTTTTTCGTTTGAAACCCTACTGTGATCCGTTTTTCTTGCACAAGTGGCTGTGATTACTGCTGTGATCTGATTGCGAGGAGAAAGTTATATATTCATTCTTAAACGGTACTATAGTGATCTTGAAGAAGAAATCGGCTATTTGTATGCATAGGTGCTTTTCGACACAAGTAATTTGTTTAGCGGATACTTTTCGCTGCGCTACTTCATTGGCTTCTCTGATTTACGTGCCAAATTGAAAACTATAGTTATTGCCACGGTCCACTGTTCTCGGTCATCATGAAACTGACGGAGAAACCGTGAATAAATATACAAATTGGCATCTGAAAAAAAGTAAAGAATAAAAGAAAATGACGAATCCATCCGAGGTCGTGCATCAGTCGTTGGCGGAAAAGATAACGACCGACACGCTGCGCAAGATCGCCTCCAACGATGAGTACGACGAGATCGAGATGGTGTGCGTGGCCGAGTACCTTTTCGGGATGTACGAGTGCTCGTTCGAGAGGCAGTTTGGTCTCATAACCAGCGACGATCCGTCAAAGAGCGCGGCTCTGGAAAAGATCGGTAAGATCGATGTGCGCGACACGCCGTTCTTTGCAATCTATAACAAGGGCGTTAAGCACTGGGTGTGCTTTGCCGTGACTTACCTGTACAGTTCGGTCGTGGTGTTGTACAAGGACTCGCTCGGCGTGCCGATACCCAACAAGCTGAGGGAAGCCATTGGGGATAGGCTGAGGGATGAGAGGAGCCTGAGGTTCGACAGTCACAGGGGAACAGAGCAGAGCGACGAGAGCAGCTCGGGCCCGATATGCCTGAGGAACTTGCAGGTGCTGATCAAGGGACTCAAGTCGGAGATCATCAAGGTCAGTGGGGTTTCATGATGATTTTTTTTCACCGATCAATACCGATTTCGATTCATAATCGTATCGGCACTGTAATAGAACGTATGAAACTTTTGAAACATATCCAAATCGTGTAGGGTCCGCTGATAGAAAAGTTCCAAAAAGTGCGCTTCTGCACGCAGTACGGAGTGCAGAGCGTCAAGAGGGAGTTCCGGCTGTGGCTGCAAAAGTACCTGCTCTCCGGCCTCGAGGAGGTGGCTACCGATCTAATGAGCGACCGAAGCTACGAGATCTTTAGGGAGAGTCTCTGTAGTTTTCTTGAGAGCTGCACCAAACTTTTAAAAGAGACCTTTGTCCTGTCGAGCAATTACACGTCTCTGCTGAAGACCGAGGCGAAGAAGAAGGACCAGGATCTCAAGTACGAGTCGGACCACAAAACGCTAAAGGCTCTGAAAAACGCCAGAAACAACTTTTATGTCAATTCTGAAGTTGCCAAGAGCATGAAATTTGATAAGAACGACTTTATTGATCTCGACAACGGGAACAGAGTTTACAATCTTGACATACAGGAGAGGTAGGTTCTTGTTGGCTTACCAAATATTGAAAAAAAAAAAAAAAAAATTATCTCGCGAGATTCGTCACATTTTTTGTCTGAAAAAGAAATTGTTCAACCATTTACAAATTGTATGATTAAAATGGCCTTTGGTGCTTTTTTGGTCATTACCTCGATAGACTGGACCATTGAAACAATCAAGTAATAGAGTATACAAACATGTTTTACTTTGTCGATTCAGCCACCGAGTCCCAACGATCACTGTAAATTAAGAGCATAAATGTAATACCACGCATGTAACCACCTATTTGGTAATGTCCCCACAAATCGCAGATTTCCCGAGCAGATGCAAAAGTTCACCAAGATCTTCGCAGTGCTGGCACAGGCCGAGATGAACGAGGAGCTAGAAAGGGCCCTCAGAAAAGTCAGCGATCTGTTGCGACTCGATTACGAGAAAATAAAGGTCTACTTTGAGCAGCAGAAGTCGCCGAGGCGACCTGATTTCATGAGGGCTGATGTTGAGCCGCCTAACGTCGTCGTGGTCGTCGAAAAGGCACTATTGGCTGTCAAGTCTAAGGCGAAAGCAAACAAGGTCAGCAAGATCAGAGATTATAGAATATATATCCTCTTCAAGTATATAGAAGCTAGGCCAAAGCGGCCAGTTTCTTGATGCTGAAAGCTCACGTCCCCCAGCTGTAATAGGCCCCCCATAAGGCAGGTGGCGTTAACTTCGATGCAGCATCAGTAGTTACCAATAATACCATGAACGATCGGTAATGCGAACGGTCGGTGTTGATAATAATTTTTGTAATAATGAGGAATTTCGAGGAATACACACTAAAACAATTAAAACAACAAAATTTGAGAATAAAATTTCCAATTTCAACTGAAGCTCTTATACCTGGTTAAACACTTTATGTACGGCTAATAACTAACCGGCATCTCAAGTCTCCGATAGATGAACGGTCAAAGCGCCGGATGTACTTTTGCGCTCTGGGCTTCAAATCTAAACTATACTGTTTTTTTTTTTTTTTTTTTTTTTCCAAGTATGTACTTTCATAATACTTATCTTGATACATTTCATTTCTTTATAATTATTATGTATTTTTTTCGTAGATACCAGCTAGGACTGTTAGGAGTGATACAATTATAGCTGTGCGATATATCATACAAGTGTAAGATTGAGATCCCAATTTACATCGATAGAAAACATGTTTAATTATTAAAAATGCTTCTTTAATTCTGTAATTTGAGGTTATGTTGCATTGTTGTATGTACATATAAAACAGGTACTCATTGGCCCACACGGTGGTCTTTTTGCTTATTACGTAAAACGTTTTTATCGCATTAGGACCATGGATAAATATACATATACAGTAACGTCATTAATATATAACCTTATGTGAAAGGATAAAGATACATTGTAATCGATAATGCACACGTTCTTCCTATTTTACTTGCAAGATAACAATTTTTTTCAGCCTCACTTCCGCACACCCACTTTAATTAACGATTTTTTAATTTTTATTGGCAAAACTTAGTAGTTCAAAGTACATAGGCCACCGACGAACCCCGAATCGGACCGATACCTTACGAACGTTTTGTTATTTTGGGTGACGAAGAAAAGCACAAGTCAGATTTAGGTAACTATATTCCCATGAGACAGAGAAATATGAGTTATGCTTTTCTTCGTCCACTTTTTTGGCGGATAAAGAAACACAACTCGGATTTCTCTATCTCATTATCAACGACAAAATCTGAGTTGTGCTTTTCTTCGCCACCCAAAAAAAAAACGTCCGTAGGGTTTCTGAGCCACCAGTTTTCTCGAGAATAATCGTCCGCTAGATGGCGCTGATTGAAATAAGCTACCGACGACGAATCCCGAGCCTTATATACTCAAATAAAAACGCCACAAGCTCTCTCGATCACGATCTATCCGCAATGTCCCCGAAATTAATATGGTCAGAACGTATAGAAAAAATCGATTGATACATCGTTCTGATGACTAAAAAAATGGGTATGGTTTCGACCAGAACCGTGAAAGTTTGTGTGCCTCGGCCCTCGAGTGAGCCTCAATATCGATATGTATATCCCCCCTTGCAGACCAAAGCCGACTCCACCGACAAGAAAATCAAAGACTGGGACCGGCTGTTGTCCGAACTCGTGCTCGACGCCCACGCGGACGACTCTACCAGTGCGGAGGAGCTCGCAGCCCAAACACGGCGCATCCGCGAGTGCCTGCCTCTGATAAGCAAGTACTACGACGAGTTCTGGTCCACCCGAGGTGCAGCGCAAATCAACGAGTTCGCCAAGGCCTGCAGGCAGACGGAGAGGGTCTTCGACGTGGACAAGCTCTGCGAGGCCGTGGCCGTGATGGACCGGGCCAACGAGCTCGCGACCGGTGGTCACAGGCTGCGCGCCCCCCAGGTCTTATCCATGCTGGTCTTTCTCAGCTGCTCGAACCACTCGCGCGGCAAGCTCTGCCAGATCGAAAGTGGCGAAGGTGAGATCGAGCGTCGCTGTACAACATAGTTTTTATGTAAGGACTGATGGTTTAAATCAATGCTTTTGTTGGCTTTCCTGTAGGGAAAACGGTGATCGTGTCGCTCCTCGCGGTCATGATGATACTGCAGGGCGAAAAAAGCGTCGACGTGATAACGAGCAACGCCGTCCTCGCGCAGGAGGGTGTTGACAGTCGCAAGCTGTTCTACACGATGTTCAACGTTAGCGTCGCCTCGAACGCACCAGACAAGACCTACGCCACCGGACCGAGAAAGTGTTACCTGGCGGACGTTGTTTACGGAAGCATAAGCGACTTTCAGTTTGATTACCTGAGGTAGGAATTATGAAACGTCAATTGTGGAATTGCTGATGAACATTACCTCTCGCGCATCGATTTTAGAGATACAGCCGAGGGTTTGGGGACGATGAGCGGCCGGCAATTTGGCCGGGTTATCCTGGACGAGGTGGACAACATGCTCGTGGACAACGGGCGTCACATTGCCAAGGTAATTTAATTTTTAAAAAATGCAATACTACTGGGCGATTTTATATCAACAAGTAATTTCTCAAGATATCTTCGCCGTTCCCCGGAATGGAGAATCTCAAGTACATCTATCTGAGGATCTGGAGCGAGCTGCTTAGCGTCGAATCCGACCTGATGGACGACTTCCAGGATAAGTTGAACGGTTTCGCTGACGTACGGAATGCCAAGGAAATGGCCGTCCGTGAGTTCGTCAAAATCTTCGATTCGTCCATGGTTGGACGCACGGAGGAAAGGATAAAGGCTAATTTGCAGGTGAACTCTAAGAAAAAAATTTCTTTCGAGGAATACTATAGTGTAACAAAAAAAAAAATTGATGTAGGAAAAAAAAAACAACGAAGCATATCCGAATCGCAAACGAGTGATCTAATCGAAACTTTTCTCCACTGCCATCTGCCTTAGGATCTAGACCTAAAGTTCGTCCCAACGCACTGCCTGAAATACGTCTCGAACATGATACCGAAGTGGATCAGCAATGCAATCCGCGCCCGCTATTTCATCAACGAGAACGAACAGTACTCCCTGAAAGAAGTTAACGGCGAGCTATCTATCGTCCCAGTGGACTACAGCAACACCGGTGTCACTCTAAAAAACACCGTCTGGTCGTATGGACTACACCAGTTTGTCCAGATAAAGCACAACGTACGCATAACTCCCGAGAGTTTGACCAGCAGCTGTGTCTCGAACTACGCCTTCATCGGGAAGTACGGTTACAGGATTTTTGGGCTGACTGGCACTTTGGGCTCGAAATCCGAGCAGCTACTGTTAAGTTCCATTTACAGCGTCGACTACGCCAGGGTCCCTACCTACAGAAACAAAACATTCAAGGAGTTAAAGGGTATCGTCGTGCCGGACGACGATTGGAGCTACGAGGTCACCCTCATGACTGTCGGCTTAATACGCAATACCGGTAAGTTTGGGAGGATCGTTGTTTTTGCGTTGATGAAAATAATTGAACGTAGTACTAAGGTCCAAATCCTATTGTCTTTCCACTAGGCCGTGCGGTTCTGATAATTTGCAAGACGATAGCGGATTTGATGCAACTAGAAGAGCAGCTCGCCTCGATCATAAGCTCGCAGACGTGGTGGGACTGCAAAATCCAGTTGAAAAAATTCCAGGACGAGGAGACGGCTGACGTTACCCGTGAGACCGTGGGTCCGGGTGATGTAATAGTAGCGACCAACATTGCTGGACGTGGGGCTGATTTCAAAACTTCGCGCGAGCTCGAAAAGAACGGTGGCTTGCACGTGCTCGTCGGTTTTTGTCCTGACAACGAGAGGGTCCGCGAACAGGCGTTTTTCAGAACCTCGAGGCAAGGAAATCTGGGTTCAGCTCAGCTCGTTGTTCGCGAGAGCGAAATCAGAAAGCTGGGTGTTGACACGATTGATTTGGAAAAGGTTGACTTTGACGAGGTATGTGTGCGTGGTGAGATATTGGGTTATTGTATGTGCGTTTTTGTAAACCGAATTCTCATCCCCACTAGGTAAAAAGGAGAATCGATATCATCGAAAGGGAAAGACTGAACGACATAAAGTTATCAAAGGTCGATGTGCTTCGGTATGAGGACACGCTGTTCATGCTGTTCTCCGATATGTGTCAGGAACTTAAGAACAACAATGTCATCACGTGGGGCCACTCGTACTTGATGAAGGACCTCAAGGAGTTTTGGGCTTTTTGGCTCGAGGACCAAAATTTCGAAGGCAAAAAGTATTCTCTGAAGGACGCGAGCTTCATTTTCTTCCAGTTCAAACATCACGATGTGACTAAAAAAATCGTCGCTGGTACGATATCGCAGAATCCGTACTACGGTGTTCTTCAAGCTGACTTTTTCTTAAAAAACGACGAGATTGAGAAGACAAAGAACTCGCTGGTCAACGCCGTATGTATGTGCAAGAACGCCAACGTCATGTATCCTGGTAAACGGATTTTTGTTTTACTTTGTTATTTCCGTCTATGAAGCAATGGTTTTTTTTTTTTTTTTAACAAACATCAACTTTACTCGTGGCCTTTGCAGCGTTCATATCTTTATTCGACTCAACCCTGGAAGAAAAAGGACCCCTTTTGCCGAGATTCAAGAGCTTCTTGTCCAAGGTGTTCGCGAGTAAGCCCCAAAACGATGAAAAAGTCCCAAACTTTGCCGTTGAGCTCGTTGAATACCTTAAAATGGCGCACGCCGGGTTGACGGAAGAGATAGACTTCATGGAGACCTACTATTTCAACGACGATTACAACTTTGATTTCAAGCGTATGCTCGTCAAGCCAAAAGGCAAAGAAAATTTGATGGTTAAGCACATCGCTGCCAAGCTCACATGTCTCAAGGTGTATAGCGGTAACGTCGAGCTGTTGCTCGAGGCTCTGGACGGCAGCGATACGCACAGTTTAGCCGTGAACAAGAGGATAACGGATTACTTGAAAAATTTTTCGGTGATTACTTGATCTTCCATTCAATTACAGTTAACTATTTTACTTTAAGGCTTATACTTAATTTACACTGTTTTTTAATTTTTATTCTTATGGCTTAAAAAGCCGGACACCAAGGAAGAAAAGCAGACAAGGGAGCTCATGTCCGAGGCAGAGGTGTCGGAGTTAGGTAAGCATCCCTGGCTTATATAATATTTTGTGATTTTGTCGACTATGAACTTGTGTAATTATTGCAGGTTCAAAGGGTTTGAAAACAATTTACGGTCTGAAGAGAATACCCGTCGTGCCCGACTCGGTTCTCGATAAGGAGCGCAAACAAATACTGGGTGCACTGTCTCTGATCGCACGAGCAACGGCTTTTCCACCCCTGAATTTCGCAGTAGCCAACGTAACGAGTCTCATGATAGCTGAGGCTATCGCCTCGGTTGTGCTCCAATTTTTCAAGGACAACAACAACATCGACGATCTCGTCGACAAAATCGAGTACCTCAAAGGTAACGAGAACTACAAAAATAAGCCTGATTACAGATAGAAACAGGTGATCTTATCTCGCTGAAATCACAGGTAAAACGCTGAACTACATAGTGAGCCTGATGACGTCCGGCGCCCTGAACCACGACGTTTGCGTAAAAATATTCCTGCGCATGGTCAGGTGCTACCGTGAGTCGTACTACTTGCTCGAGCACTCGTCTGAAAACACGAGACTCCTCAAGTCCGTCAATTCGACGCAAATCCTGCAGGACGTCAAGGCTGTGGAAAACAGCGCCAAGCTCGGAGCGTCCGGGTGGACCAGACGGATACGCGTACCTGAGACTTTGGCCCAAGAGTTCTTCGAGAGCGGCGTTGATGGCACGATCGTGGGTTCTCTCGTTGAGTTCGTCGTTGTAAAGGGACCGGCTGTTTTGGAAAATGGTGCGGATGATCATTTTATAATTCAATGCTAAAAACAAAAGTACTATAAAATCCTTCTTTATGTACAGGTAATGGCGTAGAGGAGAAGCGGAAGACTCCGAAAAAATCCACCTTTTTCCACGCCGCGGCAAAAGGTGTCCAGGGCATGCCAAGGGTCGAGAAGTATCTCTCCTCGGTGGCACCGAAAAAGTATGGCGGATCGTTCGACGAAGTGCGCTTCCAGTTCCCAAAGAGCGAGAGCCTCATGTCAACCGTATGTCTACCCAGCGAGGCTTGCCTAAAAAATACGCCCTACTCGTCGATTGAGAGATCTCAACTGCCAGCCATCTCTATGCTAAAAAGGGACTATCGAGGCCTGCGCTTCGTCTCCAGGGTGGAAGCGAGTGGAGCGAGCAAGAAGTCGTACGTCCAGCAGCAGAGAGAGCTGCTGGAAAAGGGCGAGTTCTGGCAGGTGCTGAAGAACGAGGTGGCTGAGATAATAGCCGTGTCGCGGTTTTATCAGCTGAATCGGATGGAGTACGCCAACTATACGACACCCATTGTGCAGATGCTGCAGTACTGCAAAGGTGACGACGTGCTCGGAGCGCCGGAGCTTACCGCCAACGTGCCGAAGGGCAGGCTCATCAGTCAGGAACAATACAACTCGATCGTGCAGCTCTTCAAGTTGAAAGCGGAGGTTTCGTGATATGGATATGATTTATTTGATTGTTGTATATATATTTTATATTGTAATTTATTCTTGTTGTTGATAATTGTGGATAATCTTTTTTTTGAAATGTTGACTCGTTGAGAAATCGTTAATAGATCATTTGTTAATAGATCATGGATTATTTTGTATTAAATAAAAGTTATCTCGTTATAAATAGTTATTATTGGTTTGAGTTCAATACATCATGTGTTCAAACCAATAATAATCAGGATGTGATTGATAATTGTGAGGAATGAAAAAAAAAAACGAATGAAAATTTTCGCTACAAAAGGCACCCAATATAGTATATTTCATAAAGTAATAAAATACATTGGTGTTAGAAACAGTTACAATACTGAAAAATAAATCATTATGTTATTTACACTTGTTGTTCTTGTTTCTTATCTCGACAACGTACAAGATGCTACAACTTTTAAATTCGAGCAAAGATCGTCATCGTCGTCTACCTAAACCAACCAAAGAGCACTTCAATCGAATAAATATCTATACTTAGAAAAAAATCATGTGTTAAAACTTGCAACAAAGTGACTATCTCGTAATGGGTAAATTAGGTACCGCGACAACGTCGTTACCACGTACGACTTTTATTTATTTCGCTATTATGACAATCGTACGATCATTAATATTATAATTTATACTTTTTAAAGTTTGAGTTAGCAACTTTGATGCACATAGAAAAAAGGAAAACAGTACACTGTGTATATTTACAAAATAGGAGGAGGATAACGAAGATCTGGCTCATTGTTTGAAGTTTTACAAGGATCGCTATTCGGTCTCAAAATTACTCTACATTACGCATAGTCTGAGAGAACAGCTGTATGGCATTTCGTTACATTAAAAATGAATTCTTTTTAACGACAAATTTACTCTTTATTAACTCTAAGTATTAACTAAATAAAACTCGTTACAAAATCATAACACTAATTTAATGTTCGGAAAAAATTAAGCACGAAATAAAGAGTAAAACTACTAATAGTGCTTAAGAATTCCATTTTTTATACATTTTGAATTTATATTCGTTCATAAAAAATAATATTTTAATGCGTGTATTTAGAGTAATCGTTATAAATGTATTAAAAATATATTTACACTATTATTATATGGTGAAAAAATGTAATTTGTGGAAAAAGCAAGTTGAAGAGTGTGTGTGGGAAATGAAAAAGGAATACAAAGCGAAAAAGAACCAATGACGGTGAAGATCCGTACGCAAAGCGCTTGCATTCTCGCAACCGGTCAGATGCTCCAAATAAAGCGATGAAGCAGTTCAGCTACGGCGAGATAGGGGCGTCAATTCGGTATTGCTGTTCTTAGAATTATTTTTTATTACATACTTACACAAACACTATCGATGTATCTTTTAATGAAATCATTTTTATTACAAATAATTTATCGTGTAGTAATTTTGAGACCGAACGCGACTCGCATCGAAGTTTACATTAGACGATTGCGGGATTAAGTTGGTGATTGGTCGAAGCGAAGGTGAAAATCAATGACTCGACCAATCACCGATAATCCTCACAATATACATTAAATGCACAATTATTGCATGAATTCATATAATTTTTAAGAAATTAATAATCTTTTGTTTTTTTTTTTTATTTCATCTGAAAGCTAACATTACAATACAATAATATATGTATACGGCGAGAAGGTTTACAAATGTTTTATGTGTATATATGTATGTAACTGTGTGTCAAAGGCTCGCTGCGCGTTACATTATTTTTTTAATTTCTTCTTTACTCTACCACTCTGTTTTCTTATCTTTTTTCATAAGAAAATATATAATCGACAGATTAAATAAAAATGAGACTTTGAGAGAAAGATGATGATTAACAATGAGGTTTCGCGTGGAGGCAATAGTGGGGTGGACTCAAACGCATGTACGTTTATTAAAAAAAAAAAAAAAAAAAAAAAAAATTGTAATAAATGCAACTTTGTTTTCGGTCGCTATCCTCGAGATATAATCGCCGATATCTGGGCAGACCGTTACAATTTGTCTTCAATTGTAATCAAATTGAACCAACGAATTCTTTAAAGTGATCAATTAAAAGTATAAACGCTTTTTCCCTTTCTTTTTCCGATTAACCGTTCAAGGGAACGTCTGTTTTTCTCCGAATTTCCATCGGTCCGCGTCGTATCATTTCCACCACGAGTCCTTTTAAGGATTGAGCTGAAAAGGACTTTGTACAAAAATATCTCGTATCGGAGGCATTTGAGTGTAAGTTAGACGGGAAAAATCGGAGAGACCAAATTGACTACTTCGCGTAATGTACAATCATCGACTAAGAAGGGGGGAAAAAGTAATTTTTTACTAAAAGAAGAACGTTTTTATTCTTTATTAAAGGCACTGGCTGTCTTAGAAGGAGCTTATGAATCATATTTTTCCTTTGCTCGTAAATCTATGTGGATCTAAGCTCATCAAAAACTAGCCTAGCACCGAGCAATTATAACTAACAAAACTAAGGAAGAGGAAGAGTTGGGGGGGAGAAGCGAAATTTGTCTTATATTTATTTACAATTCGGGGCAGGGAAGGGGGTTTGCGTATCGAAAGCTATGATTTTGATGTGTATGAAACGTTGCCATGAGTTTTTTGTTCACGAATTACTCAAAGGGGTTGAGAACTATGATGATAATTATTATTATTCGTATCAATCATAATAATTAATAAAATGATTAAAAATAAAATAATTATTATTTAATAATAATATACACAAGATGAATAATCTTGTTTCTTTATATATATTATGTCTTGAGAGAAGAAACGAATAAACTAAATTGGAGAAATTATTACTACGCGCTTGCTTACTGGATAATGTATAAAACCTCTTCTTTCGTATATTACAATATATTACAAAATTGGTACGTGTTGGTTTCAATTCATTCTTTTTTCCGGTTCGATCGATAAAGGAACGTGTGCGTTCACTTTAGACTCTGACTCTTTTTCTCCGAACATTTCCTGCACTGAGATGAGCGTGTACGTGTGTTTCTTGTATGCGTAAATATAAATTCATATACATTATGATTATAATCATAGTTCATGTGTACAAAAATCGTTAAAGGCAAAAATGCAAAAAATAGCGTGAATTGACACTATGACGCGCTATTGTTACGATTCGTGTATAAAACGGAGGCGATCTTTTTTTTTTTTTTTTTTTTTTCATGTTAAAAAAATATTTCTAAATCCATGTGTCAAGGACTCGGATGCTCCGAATTATATGTAGGAATGCCACTTTGTGTTACTCTGCAACTTTCTTCTTTAAATCGCGACTGCGGTGCTTCGCGCAGTGATTAACTTAAAGCTGTCAATTACAAGAACTAGTACTTAACCGACGGTCCGCTTGCTGTACTTTTCTTTTTTTGTTAGTCGTTTAAATTGAAAACTTTTCATCCATTGGTCAAAAGATTATTTCAAAAAAGTAAATTGGTACTGCAAATACGCTTGTAAACAGCGGCACGTATATGATTTCTGGTTCAAAGAGAAGGCAATCATCGATTGTACGATGTGAAAATCTATTTTTTTTTTTTTTTTTTTTTTTTCGAAAATACGAGTAGAAATATTGAAAGAAAATAAAATCATCTTTAGTAAAAACGCAAGCCAACCGCCCGTCACGCGAGAATACAACCCATGTATTTTTATAATATGCTTATCCATGTAAAAACGAGGGGAAAAAAAAAAAGAGAAAAATCACGTCCGCGCAACGTGACCGACTCCCTCTTTTCCCGAAGCATCATTACCGTAAACATATATATTATGATACATCTAGCGAGCGTGCAGTCGAAACTCTTGTATACGCGAGAAAATATATAATCTATCATGTATTCATGTAATATATAGGGGTT